CTGCCGGCCAGGGTCAAACCACGACACTCTGCCTTGTACTTCATACATATCAAAACCATAAAATAGTAGGATTAAAATTTCTGTTCTCTGCTGCCTTAGGAGGTTACATTTATAAAAATCAGATAGATTAGAAAACCTTTTATTCTACCAATAACAAGTCAATTTAATGTTACAGAAATATAAACAAAAACCACACAGCGTAACAATGGATCGGATAAAAGTAACTTCCATTTCCCAGATCCTTATTTTGCTGACTAAACCTTATTTTAGGTGAGTAATTTTCATTTTCTTTTGTGCTCTTGAACAAAGCATTTCTGTAAGATATTTTTAATCAATTTCACACTGAAAACAAGCTAAGGTGTGTTCTCACATTATCTCTTTGTATGATGTGTGAAGCTAAGTAAAACTCCAAAGTCTGTATAATACAGATCAGATTAGGTGATATAAATGCCCTTTTTTAATCTTAAAACTCTGTACAGTTATTAGCCTCCCCATTTAAATTAAACAGTTGCATTTTCCTCTTGAGTTTTTTTCAATTAAAAGACAAGCTGATCCACAAAATAGGTGGTACAAAGGCTCAGCAAAGTCATGGCAAGAACATGCTGATTATATTACAGAGACTTACTCCCACTAGAACACTTATAGGTAGGCTAAGACTTATGGAAGTTAGGATTGCATTTCTGTTATTACAGTAATCTCTTCTTCTTCCTAGCACGTTTTCTCTCTTATCCATCAGTAAAGGGAGAGAGCACTTATTTTTCCTGGTGTGTTCACTTTATTCTCTCTCACTGATTAGTTTCTGTAATACTCATTTAACAGTTACTATTAATTAGAAATGGTTTTTTAAGAGTAACTTTGGAAAAGTGACTTCTCCAAAATGCAGGGTACAAAACAGACTGAGCAATTCCACTTAATCAGAGCTGAATGCCGGAACAGTGCTGGTACTGATTCAGCACTACCGTGTCTACAAAAAGAAATACAGAATCACAGAATCACAGAATGTTAGGGGTTGGAAGGGACCTCTGAAGATCATCTAGTCCAACCTTCATCCCAGCATACCTAACCACTACACCATAGCCTCAAGTGCTAGATCTACTTTTTTTTTAAACACCTCCAGGGTTGGTGACTCCACCACCTCCCTGGGCAGCCTGTACCAGCTTGAGTACCTGATTTTGCACTGGATGGAGAAGAAAAAGAAAAGAAGAGTTTACATTTACACTGGCCTCAATTTAAAGTGACCCAGATCCACAAAACTGGAAAACTTTAGAAGATGTTACAAGGGCTTCTCAGTTTCCTCAAATTCCTCCTACTCCTGTGCCTGAGAATAGGTGAGAGGGCGCATTCACCCATGCAGACAAGATGATGCATGAAGAGGTCTGGCATCCAAGGTGTTGCAGACAACAGCTGCTTTGTCATTTCTAATCCTTCACAAGTGCCATAGACTGAAAGGTAACCTACAAAGGTGGGTGTTTGTTCCTGCCTTTTAAGGCTTCTTCCCTGACACATTGGATAGAAAGTGATGTGAATATTTATCATTGATTTTGAACTAACTCCTGAATGGTGTTAGACATAATCTGCCCTGACATCAATATCATCTTTGTAATCTTGACAACCTGGACTCCATTACTACAAGCAATGGGTGACTCCTAGGCAGAAATGGAGAGCTTAAGCACAGCCTTGATTTCCCTGATTTTACAGGCTCTCAGGCATATTTTGAGTGGTAAGGACGCAAAACATCATTAAAAAATAATGACTAAGTCCCGAACTTAGACTCATGGCTCTTTTTTCAAGGGCTGGTATGTACATAAAAAAAATGTTAAATACGCTTATGCTCCACGACATGAAGAAATTAAAGCCTCAGGTTAAAGCAACAAATTTGTGTTGCATTTGGTGCAATATCCTCATTCCAAGTGAAAAATCAGGTGGCAACCAGCATTGGAGCATATGTACTTGTTTCCTAGCAGATGATTCACATAAAGCTCCATATGGCTTTTTAAATACAGTTCCTAACAATAACAGAAGTTACAATTGCTTTACATCTGGTAATAGTCTAGATTTTATTGGCAAAGACATTGCTATATTTAAACAGGGATTTCTTAATATTGGTTTATTTTTATGTGTAACTATTTTATTAAAATAATCCTTACTCTGTGCTGTCAAATCCTTTTCCTTGCACGGCCATAAACAAAACAGAGGTTAAGAGGTTATTACCCCTCTGTGAGGTGTAACTACTGACGACACATCCCTTTTAATCCATTGGACTACATAAACAAAAAATCATGGTAAGACTTCAATCTATTTCATTTTTGTTTCTGAAACACAGTAGAAGACTACTCAAAATCAGTAACTGTGTGTGTGCCAGGGCACGCTGACAACTTCCAATCACAGGCCAGTATTTTAAATCTTTCAAAATAAATTCCTTACACCCATTCGGCCATGCAGAGTGCTTGAACATCAGCACTTGTTTGCATCATCTCTGCTCTTTTCAACACAGGGCTCCTCTTAAAGCTCCATGCTTTAAATGTACATTTCAGTTTAATTTCTCTATTAAATATGAATGTTTAGCTATCACTAGCAAAAGCATTAAGCCCTAGTTGTCACTCTACAGAAAACATTATGGTTAAGTGCTGTACTTCCATTCTTTCTGTGCTTTTCTTGCTGCACTTGAAAATTTTAATTAATAAAATCTAAGTCATCAGAGAAAACTGACTATACAAGATCTTTTTTAATCAATCAGCTATTCACTGTAGTACATTATTGGCAAAGCATCTTCTGGGTCCTTTCCAAAAGTCAAAGGACACAACATGAGGAAAGGACAAAGTTACCTAGGTTGTTACCTACGTATTAATTTCAGACTAGCAAAAAGTCTCTAGGATCCAATGGCATTGGACCACTTTTATTGTGTTTTAAAATGAGCACCAGAATAGAAGAACAATGCTATACTGACACTTTACCAAATGATCCAGAGAACAATGCAATGATCCAGTCAGAACAGCCAAGGAAACCAAGGAAATACTGTCCCAAGGGAAGAGGACAAGTTTTTAAAGATAAACGTAAGGTTTCCTTTAGCTGAGCTCAAACAAGAAAGAAAGATTCTTGAATATCCAGATCCAAAGGCCTGATATACACTTTAGATCAGAAACATTAGCAGAACTTTCCTACATGAATCATTTGGCATGTCCTTCCTAAACTAAAGATTCGTATTTTCTGATTCCTGAGAAATCACGTCACCTTTCCTATTCTTTCAAGGCAACTACAAAAAACTTAAGCCTTAATGGGCTGCAGCTAGAGAGATGCAAAGATCCACTTCCCTTCAGCACAGTACCACTAACCAAGATTTACCACCATCAGACACGTACTGGTAAATGTTACTGACACATTCTCAGTCTTCCTAGCCTTACTTACGCTGCCATCAGAATCATAATAAGAGTAATCCTTCTATTTTTTTTTTTAATAAAATCATACTTTCATAATAGGTTTTTTAACATGTTATGTAACTATGAAGAAACAATCACTCTGAAAGAACTTATCTCTTGCAAATCAACGTATTTTTAAATTATTTGTGCAGAACAATTTTGCTAAAACCAAACCAATTAAAACATAGAGGGGAAAAAAGTTTCTTCCCCCTTTTTTATTTATTTTTAAAGGAATTATTATTAAAATTGTTAAAATCTAAAAAACCCATGCAATTCTGGAAACACGAAGTATTATTATGAATAATAACCAGACTATTTGCCTTACATTAAATAAAAATTAAACTTTAATGTACTTAAATTCTAAGTTGCTATTTTTTTTAAAATCCTTCACTGAGAACCTACACTTGTTTCTCTTATGCAATTAAAAGCTTCCAAAGAAGTCAGTAAATATTTCACAAGGGATGAAGGACACAGCCTTTTCTCACTAATTAAAAACTCACAATGGGTGTCCCAGCCATTTCAAAGTTTGTTGTCATTTTGCACTTGAGGCATTATGGTTGTCTACTATGCAAACTTTGTATTTGTTAATCATTTCAGCCATCCTGCCCTCATTCTCAATTTCGAAAATGCTTGAGCTCATTTCATAGTATCTGGGATAAATCCTGTGCTCAGTCTAAGACTGGTGTCTGGTATTCACAGGCAGTGACTCAGACCTTATATATAGATTACCATTTTCTCTGCCTAACACCTTAATTATAGTTGTTATAAAAAATAAACTCAAAGTATACACAAACAAACTGCCTTACCTTCACCAGTTCTGTATAACCAGTCTCTTTCGCTGTCCACCAAGGCTGAGCTTTCAGTCCCTTGACATTGTAGAGGGAGCGCTGCCAAACCGATGCAAAGTGACCTCTTTGGTATCCAAGTTCATACCACTTGTATGCCTAAAAAATTGCAGTTGTTAACGACCAAATTTGTATCAGCCAAGCTCCCACATTAAATATGAACATGTTTTTTTGGTAAGGTAACAGGCTGTCTCATTGGATGCCAGGGTTATTATAATACAAAGTAGCGACGATTGCTTTAAGAAAAAAAAAAAGCACAAAACCAAACAAAAACCAGATCCAAAAGGCTCCAGCTAACAACCGCAAAATAGCTCAGATGGCCAAGGCTGTCCAACTCAATATTAGCAAAATAGGATAATCTCACAACCATTCACACCAAATATGGGTCAGTTATCCAGGTGCTGTCCTTAGGCTTGAGAATCCAATTGTTTCTCATCTTGGTTAACCTTGTTTTCTCTGTTTCTATCTTCTACCTATGAATTAAATATGCCTGTCTTCTGCCACCAACCGAGACGCTGTGATGATAAAAACACTGTGATGATGAAAACACTGCGATGATGAAAACACTGCTTGCCTTTGTGGATCTAAATTGTTACTTAATTATCTAACACATACATGCACCTGAGTCTCTTCAAATATTTGTTGTCACACCAGAACTGATCACATGGTAGCAACCTACTGAGGTTAATAGCAGACCCTGCCTCACTCTCCCTTTCCAAAACTTCCTTCAAAACAGGGTCCTGCAAAATAAGGTCCTGCAAAGAAAGAAAATAGAGTGCTTGGAAAGTAAAGTTCCACCATGAGTAGCACTGCGATGAAGCGTATACAGACAAGGTTACATACAGCTGCCTCCTTCCTGCTAAGTACGGCTGCTACAGCTACAACATTTTAGACAATACCAAAAGGAAAAAAAAAAGAGTATGAGGGTATGATAGAACAGCTAAGTAGAGAGATATGAGGATTGTAAGTCCTGAAGTAGGGAGCAATTCCTGCCTTGAATAGAAACTATCCAAAATTCTCTTGGAGTCATGAACGGAATCTCACTCTAGCTACAACGCTTGAAATGGGAAATGGGTTTAAGTTGAAGGAGAATAGATTTAGATTGGACCTTAGGAAGAAATTCTTCAGTACGAGGGCGGCAAGACTTTGGAATAAATTGCCCAGAGAAGTTGTGGCTGTCCCTTCCCTGGAGGTGTTCAAGGCCAGGTTGGACAAAGCCTTGAGTAGCCTGATCTAGTTGAGAGGCGTCCCTGCCCATGACAGGGAGGCTGGATTAGATGATCTCTAAGGTCTTTTCCAACTTAGGCCATTCTATGATTCTATGATAAATTTGCTCCCAACCAAGGCTGCACCCTATCCAATTCTGATCCACCTAAGCATCCCTCATACAAACTTGGACCATGTTCTCACACTCCTTCATCCAACCTGATATTTATTTCTATCTCACTCTGTCTACATAAAACAGCCTATTAATTTCACTCTTGTGCTTCCAGTTAATAATACTTGCCCTACACTTTACCACTGGCTGCCTTCCCTGGTTGTACCCACCTCCTTGCCAAACTCTCAAAAAACCCAAACCCTCCACTTTTCTTTCCAGCAGGAGTACAGAAAATCTGGACAAGACAAACACTGTCTCCAGCAGCATTCTGGTATGGTAACTACTTTAATTGTTATTTGTTTTTCAAAGAGAGTAATTTCCTCTGTTTTAACTCATGAGCACATGACAGTTGTCCAATAATCTGCTCACAGTTGACATGAAGGCTGAAACAAAAGCCTTATTGAGTCTAAAATCACAGTATTAACTCTTAGGCTAAAGAATAATAATTTCATGCGTGGGGTCTAATGGAAAGCAAAACGTACAACCAAATAAACACATCTCCAGAAGAACAATTCCTGTCAGTCTATTATTTATGTTTACCTCGAAGCCAGTAAACTAGAAGGAAAACCAAAACTTTTCTGGACACAAATCAGCCATGAGAACAGTGTGTGACTTAAAAAGACTTACATAAAGCTACTAGAAACTCTTCATGTAATGGATTATTCTAAAAATTTACAGGTGTAGTATCAGAGATATTTTATTTCAGATATAAGTTAAGACTGACTTTGGGTGGTTTTCTTTTTCCAATTTTTACACAAGTCTCTATACTGTAACCATAGATTATTTTTGAGTCTATGTATTTTCTTCACGGTTTTAAAAAAATGCAGTTGTGGATCTTTATAACTTTCTTGAAATATGGAGAAAAGACTGCAATAGAATGCTGCTTTATATCTGAAGTACAGAAAAGCAATGGAGATGAACAGAATAACGGAAAAATATATACAATCTTTCATCTTTTCTCCCTAGAGAAGCTTTGTAAAATCATGTAGGGTCAAACAAACAAACAAAAAAAGGCATTACCTTTGGGCAACATACAGTATTATCTTTAAATTTTGATGTTATCTTGGTTAAGTCTCTGAAATTGAAGCATTATGATTTAGAATGTGTGTTCTCTGAGATGTAAGTTTTAATAGCAGTGGGATATCAATAGATTGTTCATGCTGACTTTAAACTGACTTAAACGATAAGGGGGATGAATTACTTGTTTCAGCCACTGACTGATGAGTATGAATGTTGCTGCTCTTTAAGATCCATCAGCTATAATCACCATGTATAATACTGTTAATCCTTATCTATGAGAAGAATTGTGCTACGAGGTTGCTTTAGATAACCTGGAGTAGGGTTAGGTGGCCCTGCTCATCCTTCCCAGTCCTGAATTTCCATGAGAAACCTTTCTTTCTGCATGCAGATCTTGGCAGCGGAAAGACTAAATAATGACCACTGTATTACTCAGAATAACTACAGCAGAATAGTTTCTTTTCCAGGAAAGTAATTGTCTGAGATGCACTCAGTTTACACATTCTGTGTGAAAAGCACCTAGTTCCATAATATCTTCCACAGTTCTAATCTATCTTTTTTTAGGTCAGTTTGTCATTTTACCAAATTATAGCTGGAAAGGACATACTCAGTGCTGTTTCCCTAATACCTACCAAGATCATATACATAATTCCTAATTTAGCTCTAATAGATGAATATCTACCTTCAACAAACCATCAGTGATAGTGATTTCACATGTTCTTTAAATATTGATCTGTTTCTTTGATTAAATCTTGAAGTACAGCAGGCCTAGCAAGGTCACTGAGAAAAATTTAGCTTAAGAGTCGACTTTCCACTGATAAATTTAAAAGTCTCCTCTATGCCAAGAAGTTCATTTGTTATTGGTTAAAACTTCTTCTACAGTAGATTTGACTGTTAACTTCATAAACATTAACACATAATTATCCGGAGGACTGGGATGCTATACATTTATTACTTCTGCGTGATATACACACCTGGACATGTTTCTACGTGACCTACTGTAGGTGATGCTACTCTGGCAGGGGGGCTGCACTAGATGATCTCTAGAGGTCCCTTCAAACCCCTGACATTCTGTGATTCTGTGACCTTTAGTCAAACATTGTAATGGGATGCTCTAGACTCAGTCATTCAACCCAGAATACCCCATAGAAGCATACAGGGATTTTCTTTTTGTTTTTATTTTGTTGAGGGAATAACAGAGTCAGACAGTGAGACCATGGGTGCCTAAGCAGAGGCTCTGTGTGTGTGTGTGTGTGTGTGTGTGTGTGTGTTTGTGTGTGTGCGCACACACCTGTGTGTGTGTTTACATACAGGATGAGATCAACTAATTCTCACTTTGCAAATGGACTTTTAGATTCAAAAACTTCACTGGAAGACTATTTTACTGTACTTTCAGAGAAGACAATCTCGCTTAAAAAAATACAGATATTATTACATTTCAGTGTATGTATAAGGTATCATAACAGAAGTTCCATGATTTATAAAACAAACAAAAAAAAGAAGAAAATTAACCTGAGGAACTAGGTTTAAGAAAGAACACTAACAGAGGCTTTATTACAGTCCACTTGTCTACTTTACAGTATTTTAGGTATCAATATTTCAGATCTATTACTAGGTAACTGATTTATCAAGCAGTTCCACTACGTTTTTTATTCTTAATCTTTTCACATTTCCCAGTCAGGAACCTGAGTAGGTTTTTCTGTTTGTTTTTAAATTCACACCCATAGTAAAGGTCATTACTAATAACAGTCTTCAATAAAAGCCCTTTGCTCTTCCACCATGGCAATAGTGCTAATTCACACATTTAAATTTGGCTTTTAGATTAAATTTTGTTTTAAACTAACAAATTGGAAACTCTTATGGTATTTAATTGCATATGTTTGCTTTTGTTGAGTCTGCAACAGATTTGTTGTACAAATCTCTACATTCATGACTTGTTTGCTACTTTAATTATTGAACAAATACCATAACTCACACTTTCAGTCCTCTCACGGTCGTGTATCACATACTTATTGGTGCTGAAGGTCACCTCAGGAAAGAAGGGAGGTTTACAAAACACTATTATATCAGACCTATGAGAGAACTTTTATACAGTGATATACATGTAATTGGTTTGGATTTTTTTAGCTAAGTTTTTGCTGGAAGTAGTAGGATCAGAAAACAGTCACTGGATATTTCAACAATGCTTGGTCCCTTGGTTCAGACTGCCCCATGCAAGCTTCAAAAGTTGATGTTAGTTCTAAAGCAAGGGATGCTGAGAGATTGTGTTGTCACACCAACAGCACATTTTTTGCTGTTGCTCATTCTGACGTCAACATACACATGCTGGATTCTTATTGCAACAGGACTCACAGAATCACAGAATGTCAGGGGTTGGAGGGGACCTCAAAAGATCATCTAGTCCAGCCCCTCGGCCAGAGCAGCATCACCTACAGGACTACTCATGTTTTCAACATTAAGCCTATGCTTTGAAGTTTTTCTGGATTCTGCAGTCTACCAGAGGTTTAGATTTAAAGCATGAACATGTTAAATGAGTACCTCTTCGTCTCCCATTCTCTGCAAGGCATCACCTAGATGAAAATAAAAGCGTCCATCATCCGTGCCAGGGTCACCAGACTCTAGTCCTTCCTTTAAAAAAAAAAAAAAATAAAGGAAAATTTTAATAAGTCTTTACAGGAGTTCATTTGATGCCAATTCTATGCAAGAGACAGGCTACAAAATTAGCTATAAAATAAAACCACCACGGTAACCCAGAACTTAGGTTGAATATTACAACATTTCAGTAAAAATCCATTGAGAAATGTTACCAGTTATCTAAATGTCATGACCCTCTCTCCTCAGTCCCTCCAAGACAGAGGGGTATTTAGAGATGGACACTTTTCCCAGACTCTATATACATATATAGGCATTTTAAAGCTGGATTAAGGTTTTATTTTGCGGTACTTCTTCCCAAAAACTCCTAAGTATATTCAAGTCCTCTGTTTTTTTCAAGAACCTTAAGTTTGCAGCAGGCTATCAAACTCAAAACAATCTGAATCTCACAGCTGTGTACTTAGGGTTAACCACTAATAAATACTTGATGTTTAAGAATTGATGAGTTTCAATGTATGAACTTGTTCCAGTTCACAGTCAGTGATACAGGAATACAACTCCAACATCTAGCTTAAACTATGATTTGTGATTAGTATGCTTCTACCTTCACATGTTTTATACATTGCAATTTTATTTTTTGCAGGTAAAATATTTACTGTAGGTGAGAAAAGAAAAATACCTTTAGATACGGTATGCTCTCTGCTATCTTGTTTTCTGCCTTCAGGATGAATCCATAATGTACTTTGGCAAAGCCATCATTTGGAGCCAGGCTTAGAACCTGTTTGAGATCAAATGAATTAAATACTCATGTATGGATATATGCAAATTAACAAACCTGTGCAAATATTACCATTTAGTGATGCACTGACATCTTCTTCCATCACTGACTCTCAGATAAATTCTTGGCTTGCTTGTACTATATTTTCACCTCTCACTTCTGTGCTTCCCCAGAGAAATCTATTACAAGCCAAACTTTAAAGTAGTGAGTACAGGTGAGTACAGGGACAGCTGTAGAAAAATATCAGTGTACAGAGGAGTGTCTCAAGGAAAGGAAGTGTAAAGCTAGCTGGCCTGACATGTGAGACATATACTCCTGACATTACTGAGATAATTTAAGTGTTTTTGATCTGCCTCAGCCAAGTGGAAAATTAGAGAATGTCTTGATCTACACTCCAGCTCCACACTTCTATGATGTATATATTCAATAACGTTTGTAGCTCTATGTGCTATCAATTGCATGGTCAAGTTAATCTGTTGTGATACCTCTTCCCTCCTTAAAATAATGGTGGAAGTCCTTATTAGGAGAGATCTTCAGTCTGTGAAGATCATAAAGAGTCTGGCAGTTGTGGAATTACAGAGGCTGATACCTGCTGAATATCTAACACAGACGCTAAATACAAAACAATGGTCAGATGAGCAATTTTTCTTGCCTAAATCTATTTTTGAAGCTACTAAACTTATGCCATGGATAAAATGTCTGCATACATTATAGCCATTTCCCTCTGCCTTTTCCAGTAACTGTCTAACCTAATTTTCAATCAAAATAATTACAACCAAAACCACTGCAAATTCTCTGGGACAATCTCTCTGCCCAGAGAACGTTACAGACCTTCTGTAATAACGTTCTCAAACCTTCTTACATACAAAGTACATCCTAGCAAAACCCAAATCAGTGCAATGTGGGTATAAAATGTTATGAGTTAACTATAGCAGGATTTCACTTCTTTTTTTGCAGGAACAACCAATTTGAGAATTTATCTGAAGTCCCAAATATGACACATTAGTAGCAAAAAGTGAACCCAGCAAGTCATAATAGGGATGATCCTTAGTATAACAATATGCTACCACCTTATGCATCTTATACCTTTTGACTACAGCATCTTCTGTATAATTATTTAGATCCAAGAATCTGTACCTGCAGGGTGAACAAAATGACTGGCAGAAATATTTATTAGCCATATAATTTTGTTACAGTTCCTATAACTATAGGATAAAGCCATCTGATTAATTAAGACAGAATAGAATTTTCTGTATTACGGTTCATTTAAACTATGCCAAGCTGCATTAAGGCATGATCTACATTCAGAGCCCCTAAAGAGAAGCAAAGAGATACAATCAGCAGAAATTACACTGGAAGTATTTAATGTAAATTGTATTACTCTGTTGCTGTTGCTGCATGCAATATTAATTATGTTTAGAAATAAGTTTTACTAAACTGCTCATAGCCTATTAAATATTAATCATGAATACAGAAATTAACCTCTGGGGCTATCAATGGCTAATTAGCCAGGGCAGAGAACTGTGTTAATATGGATATTCTGCTTTTGGTACCTGAGATAACTCAAGCGGAGCTGGCTTATGCGTGTCTGTACAATGCTGCACTGAGCCACGCAGACATGCCTCAGTATGGCAGCCAGAAAAAAGTGCTATTAGCAGAGTAACTGGTCTTATAAAGTTCTCTTCCACTGGATTTCACCATAATCTTTAAATCTTTGAAAACAAAAATAATTCTAGATTGTACTAGGACTACTTCTAACATTATGTTTTCTTTGACAATAAAAATAGCTCTGAATTCTACTAAGACTACTTTTAACTTTGTGTTTCCATGTCCCTAAATGCAATGTTCAAAAGAAAATGCTTTAATATTGGAGGCAAAACCGAAATCTTCTCCAGCTTGATATCACTTTCCATCTGTGGTTCAGCATGAATTCTGGCAAATGCACACTAGAAAAGTGCATTTTGTGGCAGACTATACAACACTACAGCTTTAAGTACAAAACTCTCGAAGTTCAGTTTTTGTACACATCATTTCTATAGCTAAAAGAAGGAATACATCCTATTTAAGACTTTTGAAATAAAAATGTGACTATAACACTTCAACAGCTGCTAAGACGTAACAAATTTGGAATGGAACATAAGAACTGAACAGAAAAAAAAAAAAAAGTAAATTGACTATTAAATGGAGACCAGGAAGTTTTCATTCATTATGATATTTTGGGCATCTAGCCAACTCCCTGGAGATGATGCAAGCTACAGTTAAGTCTTGTCTGAAATGGGATATGCTGTAATCCCAGAGTAGGGGACAGTGCCTCTGACGGGTCCAGCTCATTGGGTGTGTTCATGCTTAACACTGAATTACGATCAAAACGTTCCATCAGGAAGCAAAGGAGGACATGGGAACTTTTTGCCCAAGAAACTAGCAGGTTTGTGGGAAATGGGAAGTTTGGAGTCTAGATTCTCCTGCATAGAAGAGTGTACAACTACTTATGAACTTGACTGAGGGGAAAAACAAGTACCATATACACAGGATGTTAAACAACCCTGAAGAAAAGAATGGCATCAGAGAGGAATAGTTGAGCCGTTAGTCAAACAAAGTGTATGTTCTCTTGAGGATGAATCCAGAGCTCTGCTCTCTCTTCTTAGATGGCCATGCCTTCTGCATTAAAGAACACTGAATAAAACATGCAAATATCCCTACAGTGGGAACCAGAAGTCAAGATTCATAAATACTGGAGGCACCTACTGTGCAGCAGTACATCTACTGTGCTCTCTTACACTTTTCTACCAAGCGACTAATCCGTCCTATAGTAGTGAGAAGAAGGATTTATTCACACTACAAAAGTTTCACAGGTTTTTCAAAAATCATGGGAAGAGGAGGATGTCTCCTGGAGGTCCCCAGAACCACTCACCACAGGTTGCCCCTCTCTTTATAGACTATGCACAGAACCTGAGCACCTATGGTGCCAACCACTTTCTAAATACGCATTGCAACAGCTGCGTGAAGCACTCGAGCAAACCATATGGCCCCTAAGCAATCTGCCCAAAAGCATGTAAGAAGCCTTCAGTACAACCAAGAACAAAAGCAGGTACATATGAGATTCTCCGTTTCGTTTTTTGTGTTTCCTTTCTTAAAAATTCTTCATGTAAATTCAATCTGTATTGCAAAAGAAAAGCAAAATTACATTACTTTGTTGGAATTCAGCCTGGCGAATGGTCAGAACATGGAAAAAACCCACGTGATTTTTAAAAAGAATTAATCCACCTCCTTTTAAAAGGTATTTCTTTGTTTCTCTTTTACAAGAACAGAACATCCCTATGATTTATGCTATTTCAGTGGTCAGCGAACTGCAAAACAGAGCAATTACAGTGGATAAAGAATATAGTAGCACAGAAAACAATATATTAAAAGCAGGCCAGTTCTTATTTTGCATATCTGTTCTTAATCAGAGCAGTAAACACTTCTGAAGTATATCAAACTCAATATCAAAGTAATTATGTGGCAAATTCATTACCTTCTTCAAATTATAAAAAGTCTTGTGATTAATGATACTGAGAAATTCTAACAATTGTATTGTTAATGAAAAAAGCAAAGGAACATTTTGCCCAAAAGGAATATGTTTTTGTTTCTTCAAGTTCCTTGCAGCTTGAGAAGCAGGTTCAGGTAATTTATAGAATCATAGAATGTCAGGGGTTGGAAGGGACCTTGAAAGATCATCTAGTCCAACCTCTCTGCCAGAGCAGGATCCCCTAGCACAGGCCACACAGGAACGCAACCAGGTGGGTTTTGAAAGTCTCCAGAGAAGGAGACTCCACAACCTCTCTGGGCAGCCTGTGCCAGTGCTCTGTCATCCTCACAGTAAAGAAGTTTCTCCTCATCTTGAGGTGGAACTTCATATGTTCTAACTTATGTTCTTATTTCTTGTTCTATTGCTGGGCACCACTGAGAAGAGATTGATTCCTTCCTCTTGACATCCACCCCTCAGATATTTGCATATGTTAATAAGGTGCCCTCTCAGCTGTCTCCTTTCAAAGCTGAACAGCCGCAGGTCTCTCAGTCTCTCTTCACAGGACAAATGATCAAGTCCCTTAATCATCCTCGTAGCTCTGCATTGTACTCTCTCTAGTAGGTCCCTGTCTCTCTTGAATTGGGGAACCCAAAACCGGACACAGTATTACAGGTGTGGTCTCACTGAAAGCTGATGTTTCCAGTTCTCTGAGAAATTTTGGCAGCAGGTCAAATATTGAACAGAAATGTTTTATGCAGCCAAAGTAGCAAAGCAAACATTATTCTGGCAACATCTGAGGCTACCAGAGGAGTCTGAGAAAAAAACATGGTATTACCGGAATTTGTCTCCTGCTTCCAACCATGTGGTTGAATATCCTTCTCCTCTTTGAGAAACTACCTTAGATGAGAATCCACTTAGACTCCCAGATGTTGTGGATAGAATATTGGGCATTTATTCTTCAGAGGTGGTACTAATGATGCTGACTCATCTTCAGTCTACATAACCAGCTAATTACTGCACCGTGCCTCTACTAAACAAGCACTACAACAAGACAGGCATACTCTTCACCGGGCAGAAAACTGGATGGATGCCTGGGCCCAAAGAGCAGTGGTAAATGGAGTTAAATCCAGTTGTCAGGCAGTCACAAGTGGCGTTCCCCAGGGCTCAGTATTGGGGACAATTCTGTTTAACATCTTTATCAATGATCTGGGTGAGGGAATTGAGTGCACCCTCAGTAAGTTTGCACACAACACCAAGCTCGGTGGGAATGTTGATCTGCTTGAGAGGTGGGAAGGCTCTACAGAGGGACCTGGACAGACTTGATCGATGGGCTGAGGTCAATTGCATGAGGTTCAACAAGGCCAAGGGTCAGGTCCTGCACTTGGGTCACAACAACTCCAGGCAGTGGTACAGGCTTGGGGAGGAGTGGCTGGAAAGCTGCCTGGCAGAAAAGGACCTGGGGGTGTTGATGGGCAGCTGCTGAACGTGAGTCAGTAGTGTGCCCAGGTGGCCAGGAAGGCCAGCAGCGTCCTGGCCTGTATCAAAAATAGCGTTGCCAGCAGGGCTAGGGACCTGACTTTCCTCACGTACTCAGCACTGGTGAGGCCACATCTGTGTTCAGATTTGGGCCTCTCACTACAAGAAAGACACTGAGGTGCTGGCACATGTCTAGAGAAGGGCAACAAAGCTGTTGAAAGGTCTAGAGAGCAAGTCTTAGGAGGAGCATCTGAGGGAACTGGGATTGTTTAGCCTGAAGAAAAGCAGGCTCAGAGGAGACTTTCTTGCTCTCTACAACTACCTGAAAGGAGGCTGTAGCATGGTGGAGGTTGGTCTGTTCTCTGAAGTAGTAAGTGACAGAACAAGAGGAAATTGCCTCAAGTTGTGCCAGGGGAGGTTTAGACTGGACATTAAGAAAAATTCCTTCACCAAAAGGGTTGTCAAGCATTGGAACAGGCTCCCCAGTGAAGTGGTTATTTAAAAGACATGTAGATGTCGTGCTTAGGGACAGGGCACACCTGGCATTGCTAGGCTAACTGTAGGACTCCAGGATCTTAAAGCTCTTTTCAACCTAAATTTTATGCTTCTATAAGTGCACCAACATTGACAAGATCATCTCTAATCAGGTCCTAACTATGTGTGCTCTACCAATGACATCAAGCTCCACATCTGTCAGAGAGTTTCTAGATGTTAACAGGGTTTCTAGATCATAGGAGCAGAGTGGCCCTTCCTGGCATGAAGTTTCCCCAACCTGATCATGATAGTATCAGATAGGAATATAAATCCACCAAACTCTTCATACTGCAAGTGTCATAAAACAAAAACAGAATTCAGGCTGCCTACAAAAATAATGAAAACCCAAAGATTAAAGAGCTGTGTGAGTACTGAACTACTTATCACATGGTTAGAGAAAGTGTTCCTGTAAAGAAACAGGCTTACTTCTGCTTTCTATGTCTTGCAGATAAGACATATTGTTTTATACCACACATTACATCTACATGTGTTGTCAATACATTCCAAATCTGGCTACCAGAAGGTGTAAGAAATCAAATATCATCAGGTATATGAAAAATATCTGCATTTTTCTGTCTATGAGAAAAACATTTCACATGACAGTATCAGAAAATCTAAACTAAAATGAGATAATTATTAACTGCACAAGGAAAAAATTCATTATATATTAACTCTTTAAAATTTGACATGCAAAATGTTTAACAAATAAAAAAGTTAAAAGCAAAACAATCTTTAGAAAGAACATATGAATGCAATTAATAATTTTCCTTGGCTGGAATGGAAACTCACCTCTTCGTACACTTTCTTGGCATTGCTGTTGTCTCCTATCAAGAGGTAACCAACACCAAGGTCATTCTTGAACGAAGTATCACTGGGAAACAGCTGAACTAACTTCTGTAGAGTAACCAGGGAACCCCTCATGCGACCTAATTTGATTGAATAAGAATTAATCACAACTACAAATAGGAGTAATAGTAGTAAGACACTTACAAAACATCTAAGAAAACATAAACAAGAGCCAGGTGTTCCACTTCTACCGACCATCAAGAAGCAGAACTTGAAAAAAAACCCGAACTTGTGCAGACAGGAGTATCTTCAGCTGCTGGGTTGCCCCTGCCGGTGTTGCCGTACAAGGAATATTTCAGGAAATCACTGCTAGTGGCTCTCACGCAGTGCTCTGGTAGCCTCTAGTGGAGAGCCCTTCACAGTGTAGCAGCAGCAACATTACTTCATCCCTGGTTGCCCTTTTGCACGTAGATGTCAAACCGCTCAACAAAACTTGGTAAACATACAAAAATAAACTTAAGTCTTGATTAAGTAATTAAACACATACTTAGTGTTAAGTAATAATTCTACTGTATTTTCATTATGAAATTAATCCTGCTTTACGTGCTTACAATTATATACGTTCCTTGATTTTCTAGATGAAGTCTTGCTGAGGACCAGCAAGACGAAAACAAGTTGATGGTAAAACCCTACCCATGGGAAAAAATGTTCCTCTCCACCAACAGTGCCTCATACTCTAATCAACACCTGTCATACATCACAGAATTGAGATCTAAACTTTCAGATGTTATTCCTGAGCTCAATTCCATTCCTTTCTATGTTTACTGAAAGTTTATTCTGAGTATGTTTACTCTGCATACATCATTAATTTCCTCATGATTTCCCTTAGCTTCAGTAGAAAAAGAAAAAAAAATTTCATCTTCCTCTGCTAATAAAAATTTTTGACCAGCTCCCACCACACTTTCTCATAGCACTACTATCATACAAGGTAAGCTATTAATATACAATAGCTACCTAGAAAAAATTTAAAGAATTTAAAAATATTTTTCATCAGAATTTAAGAGATTAGGAACAAAGGCCCTATGAAGAATTCAATGGAAATGAATTTAAGTCCCTAGTGATCTTTTGAAAGTTTTGCTCACAAAACTTTCATAATTTTCACAGCACCCTCAAATCTTACCAAGAAACTGCTGCCTGTCTGCTTCTCGTTTCAAACTTAGTTTTATCAGATCTGAAGGGACATTTGGTAGACTAACCACCTCATCATAGGTGTTGATAGCTTTTTGCAGCATCTCATTACTTCTCATTTTCTCAGCTAAGTCATCTTCAGACTAGAAAGAATCACAAAACTATTATTAGAACACAGAATAATCCATTAAGCTTAAAAATAACTTTTTCCTTAAAAAGTAAACAATGCAACTGCTAGATTATGGGAACAATTTTAGAATTATCTTTAATCTCTACAGTTTTGGGATATCAAAAGAAAATTTAGTTGGTTGCCTTTATGCTAAGGCAGATTAGAATTACTCTTAATTCTCATTCCCTGCAAAAACATACATTATCACAGATTTTTGGTTAATATTCATGCACGTCGTAGTATCTGCTTCTGAAGATAAATGAAGCAATCTGTTCTAATAACATGGAGAAATGTAAATCGTTGCCTATGGATTATTTGCATACTGAGCCTCACATTGGCAGCAAAACACACCAACAAATACTTCTTCCATATATTTTGATAAAATTCATTTGCACTCTTTCTTAGAAAACTAAGTAGGAATTGGCTTTACTCTTGCATATGCTGACAGAATAGCTACCCTACAGCTCTTTCAGAACTTATATTTGTTCATCAGTTCAGGAGTAGACCAAAAGATGTAAGAGATCTCTACTGTGAAATTACAGATTTAGTGAAGCTAACAGAAGCTACACCTGATTTCACCTGTGCTATGGCATCTTCATAATTTGTTCCCACAGCTGAAAAAAACAAGACTATATCTCAAATGCTGATTTTTTAAACCATTGCTTTGAATTGCTTACACAAATACATGTATTTTCATGCATTTAATGCATTTTTCACTAATACTTTATTTTTATTGGCTTACGTTCTCTGCTAAGTCAATTAGCAGACCAAAGTGCAGACACATTGCATGCACTGTACGTTAAGAAACTTTTATTGGTCTATCTAAATTCACTGTTGTAGCAGTCATACACATTAAATAAACCAGCTCCAACTGTGTTAGCTCTATAGGCTGTAGTGAGTATTTGTGAGCTTTTTGCACTTCTATCTTTCACATTTTTTTCCTTGAGCTACTTTGAAATTGACTATTGGAAATATCAAACAATACAGTTACGTAGCCAAATAGTTGATCGGCCAGTTTTCAGAGATAACTTCAAAAATCACTTTTAAGTGAGAATTTATTTTTCTGATTTCACTAGGAAATTTGCTTTTTCTTGTTTTTTTTCAGGGAATTGCAAAGCAAAGACTAGTAGGAAGATACATAAAGAAGAGGCAAAAATTGTCAGCATAAAATCTGCATTAATTCAGCAGTATAGATGCTATAAATCATATAAGGACATTTAAGACCTATCTATCATTCTTAAAGATGAAAGATATTCTACAGAAATTCTTAGCATCTGGCCTAAGCGTAGCTCCAGAAATCAAATGAGGAATTGCTCAAATTTCTGACAAACACTGTAACTTTGAATTTTGCAGAATTTTGGTGGAAGCAGTTATCTTCTAAAGCTATTACAAAATCCAGAGAAATGAATCCTCATGTTTTATTAGAAATTGCATCTACAAAACTAGCATGCAATGTTGGTTCATGACTCATAAAAATGGAGAAGCACACTCTTATGGTGAACTCCTGGCCTTTCCCATTACCCTTCTCTGCGGTTTTACCTTTAGTTATGAGAGACAGCAAATTTGAATGCATTGTGTTGGTATAAATATCCATTTAAAAGAATATCGTGGTACAATGTAAACCCTAAGAATACTCCATCCGCAGTGAAGCTCATGATTTTCTTATTCCTTCAAACAGCTTCAACTTACACATATTGAATTCCATGGTCGTTGGTCACATTAATGAGTGCCTAGTAAAAAAGGCTACTGAAAATGAAAATTAATCTATAGTTGTTTTTATATATTCCTAGAAAGTGTATGCTACTTAGGACTTCAGATCTTGGTCTGTATGACCTTTTAAGCATTACTAAAGCAGTAGGTGGTGACTACAAATCGTTGTAAATGAACAAATGAAGTTGTGTCACTGAGGGGGGAACTCTGAATGAGAATAAGCTTCACAGCTGGCTTCAATGATCTGCCCTGCTCCCTAAAAGCAGTGAGCTAACGAGGAGTCAGGAAGCATATTCTCTTAGATAAAATGAGCAGATTCATAAAAAAAGCTAACAAAGTCCATCACCTATACAAACCAAAGAGGTCTCCTACTGTAAGAAGGCAAATAGTTCATCAGATTATCCCACATGTAGAGCATTGCAGTACTTGGTCTGCTGTGTATTAGGTGCTTGTGTGATAGTCTTGGATAATCACAGCTTTGGTTTTAGTATGAGTGTTATTAACCAGGTGAAAAATGGTTGTGACTCCAAGTGCCTCACTAACTGCCTAACAGCACAATTCCCTTTTACAGTAAGGGCTTCACCTCACTGATCTTGATTAACATGAGTTCAAGTAGTGTTTTATTACACCTAGGGCACTGGGATTATCCTATTATTTATGAAAATACAAGGATTATTCTCTTCTGAGACATCCCAATGCAGCTCAAAAGTATTATGAATGCAGGGCTTAGTTTCTGATGCTTGCTTTTTTTGTTTGTTTTTTGGAGGGGAACACCTGAAACAGAACTTGTTCCACACGAAAAAGCTAATTAAGCCTCCTTGCCTAAGAATTTGTGTTCTTAATTCTTTTAACACTCTCTTCATAAAAACTGCAAATCCCCTTCCCTGTTTCCACTAAGCAAAAAGGAGCATTTAACCCAGAGCTGACTGATGTGTTGATTTACAAGCTGCAGCAAACAGTATGTAACAGGTAAGTTCTGCCTGTTGTCCCTTCACTGGGACGTTAGTTTGGATTTATCTCTTCTGATTCATCTGACAGTTTTCATGCGACCTACAGGATGTACCTTATTTACAATACTTCCCACTAGACCAAAGTTAGACAAAAGCTTCCAAAGTAATCGGGGAAGGATAGAGGACTGGAACAGATACAAAACAACAGATCACAATTTTTTTTCCCCAGGGAACTTCTATAAAATTATAAATGAAGTCTGCCTGGGGTTTAGAACTCTATTGTTAAAAAAGTTTTAATCTTTTTTTTTACATTTATAGCTTTTTATTTTAGTACCTGTGCTTTCCCGTATCTTGCTCGAGGACTCTGTGGATATTGATTCACTAATGACTCAAAGGCCCTTAGAGCTTCTTCAACTTTTCCCTGCAAAGTAGAGATATTTATCAGCAATTCTATCTAATAAAAATGCTGAAGGATGCATGACATAATAACACATTAGCTTCCCAATTAAAGCAAAAAAAGATCAAAACAAAAAATGCAGACTGAATCAACACTTTTCACTTGTATTTTTGTTGGGATTGCCTGTTTATTTAAGAGAAATTCATTGTCATTATTTATGAAACTATAATCTACTTTTATGGTTAAAATGAAGAGCTTTGGTTTTATTTTACTGGCTTTCCCTCTTGTTGACTGGAAAAAAGGCTGAGGTGATGATAACCTGTCTCTACAAACATACAAAGATTCTATTGCTAATAACGAGAACAGAAAGGAAGTTCCAGACATACGTGGAAATTTCCTCTCTGCACACCTCACATGATGAACAGTATCCTAAATATGGTTCTTCTCACAGAAGCACTGCAGACCCATCCATGGCGTGTGGTTGTTTCCTCCAAATTTTGCATATCAGTGTCCCTCAGGACATCTCATAGGTGCTCCATATCACTTCCTCGTTGCATACCAAGTCCAAAGGTATTCTCACAACTGATGCTGACTAGCAAGTAAGGATGGACATTGAGAAGAGCCAGCTGCACTGTCAAATCACTGCTTGGCAAAATTTGGCATCAGATCTTGCTGCCACACCCTACTCTTACAGCTTTACGAGTAGAATATCATACACAACTGTTGTGCTATCTTTAAACACTACATATGTCTGATTTGTTACTGAATTTATCCTGCTTCCTAGAAGCATGATTGCAACTCACCAAGAGACACAGGTGGGGAAAAAAAGAGTCAGACCCAGTAGGCTCATCAAAAGAATCTGTTATGCCTTTCTCTGATCTACCATTTAAATAACAAGAAGCATGTAAACGCTTTTCATCTTTGTATTCTAACACATAAATAAGGTTCACAGTGAAGAGCAGCAGCAGTGGCAGCCTGAGGTTGGTGCTTTCTACATGGTAGCCCTTCAGCCCTATCACAGACCTACAGGAACTCTGAGGCTGCATAGATGGCAATGTAAAGCCAATACTGCACAGGCAGCCTTCTGAAAATCAGGAATACACATGCCGTGACTAAAATGGGTTTTAGTGTACTGTACGAAAAAAAGTGTATCACATTGCTCAGCCAGGGTACAACAAATACAAAACAAAAAAGTTGTTCTCCATGTGCTACAACTGTCTGTGAGGCGTCTGAGAATTTTTACAAGATTAACATCCAGAAGACTTAAGTTGTCACATAGCATTGCTTCACTATTTAATCTCACATCTGGGAAAGAGACATCTCTGCACAGGTCTTGTCTTCTGAACCAATAAAATAAAAGAATCAAATTGGAAGTTATCAGAAAAGACAACTAAAGAGGCTTGGTTTTTTTTTGTTTTGTTTTGTATTTTTCATAGTCAAGTTATTAAATTCATAACTAACAAAATGGACTGATTGATGTAAAGGTCTTGCTGCCACTGGTGAGAAGCAGGAAGATGTGCTTCGTCCTCTAAGCAGCTGTAGAGGAGCAGAAACTCTCACAGGATGCACAGAGAATCCCAACAGAAAGAATGCCCATTGCAAGGATTTGCACCTCATGCTCACAAAGTGTATGCACACTTACTGAGAGATCTCAATATTAACACACTTATTTAAGTTCTCTGACAAGTCTACTTCAGTACTCAGATAGGTAACAGTGACAGAACAGAACTAGCCCTGTAACCCCGATCCATGGTAATTCACTTAAGTAGTTCTTTTTATTATAGAAATTCAAGTTAGGCTAAATATTTTCAAGGTTGAAGGTGACTTAAAAACAATTAAGATGAACTATACAGCAGAAATGAAACCTCAAAGACAAACATGCGCTGAATATTTTAATTTAAAAAGTTAATTTAAGAGAAAGTAATTTAAAAGTAATTATCCATTTTTCTAAGTTAATTTTTATTTTAGTCATTTTTCTCCACTGTCTACAATCCTGAGTGAAACACTGAGAACTTACTTTTTTACGTAGTTTTTCTGCAGCATCTAGTTCAGCTTTTATGGTCTTATCAAATTTGTTTAAGAGCTTTGGCTTCTTCTTTTTAGCTAGAAGAGATTTAAAAAACACACAGTTCATTACTTCTTATGTATTTAACAGCAATTGTTTGAGCATCTTTTCACTAGCAAATGCTAGTTAACTGTGCTGCCAAAATGCACGATTTTCAAATAAGGCAATTTCAAAATATACCAGAAAAATTTGATTTCTTAATACAATCACAAACTCCTGTGAGGAAAAAGCAGTCTTCAGTCTTTCCAACTGAATAAATTCACAGTCAAGTTTCTGACAAAACATTTTTCAACTAATACAGACTTTTTTCTCCAAATGTTTCAACTGACATGGAAGAACAAAGAGAACTGTTATTTGCACACATTTATATGGTATTATGAAAAATATCACTAGCAGGACACGGTAATTTCTAAAGTTGTGCCTACTTCTTTGTCAAAAGCAATTAAAAGAGTTGACGGAAATCATAGTTACTCAAGGTAGGAGGGGCTCAAAAAGTCATGCAGTCCAACTTCCTGCTGAAAACAGTTTCAATGCTGAAATGTCTGATCAAGACCTCTTGAAGTTTCCACAGCTCAGCAAACTATCACACAGCAGCAGAAGCACGTAGCAAACCAGTCTTGAAGTAAATTGCATAGAGTAAATCGCATTTGAAGCAAACAGAAGTAAGCTGTGCCCATTTAAACAGATTTTTACTTCATAGCAGTTCACTCAGTGTTTATTTGGTTGAATTAAGTTTGCTGAATTAAGTTAAAAAATGCAAATATGCTACTGAAGGATATGACAGCAGATAACTGCTCCACATTTGCTATAGTTAAAACTTTGCTTTTACACTTCATTAGAAAAAAAAAACAACACACCATTTTTCTGACTCAAGTAAGGGAAATACATATCTTGGCTGACATAAGTAACTGGTAGTTATGTATGTCTGTAATTAGCAGAACATATTTTTACCTAAATAATGCATTACTGTTATTTAATCCTCTATGGACAACAGGTCATTAATGGCATGAAAAGAGGTAAACTTTGTAGTAAACTAATCCCAAACACCATATAGCTTAACATCACAAGACTGCTACAATGCTGCGGTAAATATTTTGGATAAGGAGGTATTGTAATGAGCCATATTTTATTCTGCTTCCCAAGTCCTCAGGCGCACTGTTCATGAATGACAAGAGCCATCACATGCTACTGGAAGCTGTGCTTATTATTCATTAAATGATACCTTCTCTTTGAGACTCAGATCCTACACAGAGCTTTAGGCAGACAAATCAGCTACGTTTGAACCTCAGAAAAAGACCAATGTCTTAGTTAATGCTAAACCAATATAACCACGTCCAAGCGTTAGGGTATCTTATGAATCTGAGCTGCTTCTTTATGATATTTAAAAAAAACCTTCCTTGACTACCTTTTGTTCTTTTTGTGAAGCTTTTACTGTCACGTTCAACACTGAACTCAGACAGCCCTGCACAGAGGGAGTTTTTCCTACTTTACCTTTACAAACTGTTCTGCAGCATTGGTATGCACAGTTAAATTGACGTTATTGCTTTTCAGGGGCAGGGGGCAAATAGAATTTAAGCAGGATTGAAGCTATCCTACTAAATTCCATTTACTTATTCACAAAGGTCATATGAAGCTTGAAATATAAAAATGTATTAAGAACTATAAAAGGAAACCTACTAAAGCAGCAGTGCATTAGGATTATTATATCCCTGTTGATCCTTCTTATAAAAGAAGTGACTATGGTTTTCCCAGGCATTAGCTACCATGAAGTTAAGAAGGAAAAAACTCCCTGATATACAAGAGTTTACTCCTTTTTCAGGATAATCCACCAGCTAGCATATTGCAAAATACTGCCTTTACTGCCCTAAACACTTAAGGTTTTGATTGTACTCTATGACACGAAATCAAGCATTTATACTCAAGCACGCAATCCAATCACGCACTTAAGAAACAGCTCTCACGGAACTGAACTGACCGAAGAGATGCTCTTTTTTTCCCCTTTTTAAATATAATAATATAGATGGTTTTCATGTCATTTGTTCATTTCCCATAGACAATATAACAGAAATACATTTCAATCTGTGGCCAATTCCGATCTTGCTGTCTTCCTTATTACCCATTTCACAGAAAAGCGATGTTTTTACTGCATTTCATGCAGCTAAGGATTAAGGAGCACAGCATTGGCTCTCTTCCAAGCATTCATACCCCTGGAATCTAGAAAAACTCAGAGAAATCGCTCTTAATATAAGAACAAGGATTCGTCCACCCCAGACCTTGAGTCCACAGTGAATAACATGTACGGTCAGAACTTTCTCACATAATGTCACTGGGTCTGAAAAGAACAATCCGTAACACGCAAAAGGTTTGTTGGGTTTTGTGTTGGGTTTTATTTATTTTGGGTTTTATTTTTCTAAAAATACGCCAGCTTAGATTTTCAAGAAACAATTGCCATTTCTAAGGCCTGGCTTGCTCAACAGTAGGCGTGGATGAACCCAGAAGCATCAGCCCAAGGAGCCAAAAAAAGCAAGTGTCTCTGAGGACTTTTTAGGTTGGTTGAGTTCACAGCTGCTCTGTGAAACTATCATTTGTTTTTAGTAGGAAAAACAAGGCACGTCAGTTCCTCTGGGGACATGATCTGGAAAGCTTCCAGCTGGACATCACCACCAGACACTTGGTTTATTCCTGCACTCTAAGTAGGAAGCTGTACATACAAGAAATAATGTAAACCACAACTGTCAATTCTCAGTTCATAGGTCATGAATGAAAATCTTTATCTAAGACTGGCCACTTACACCGAAACTCTGTATTCAGTAAGAGGATAGCTACCTGCCAGCTTTCTAACTTTCAGTGTTTATGCAAAGACATACAGTCATTTGGTCCTTCTCCAACTCTGTAAGCATGGCAACAGTGAGGTTCCTTCAAGGCAAAGGGAAGAAGCTTTGCCATCCAGGAAGAAACTCTTAGTACATGTGGGACACTGTTTTCACGATTCGAATTTACAAGAAGATGAGACAGAAAAAAAAAGTGAAATAAAATCTTACAAGGCTGTGGCACAAAGGTAAGACATCTTTCCCCTCATATTTGACTTTGGTGATGTGTTGGAAGAACCTTTTTACCACCCTTCAAAACAAACAAACAAAAAAAGTATTATCTTCCCCTTTCTCCATTTTATATTTGTTCTAGACCAGCAGGAGATCAATATGAAAAGCTGGAAAGGAGCTGTTCACATAAATATTATTCAGCTACTAGGCAGCAATATAACACAGTAAACATTATATAACGAGCAACCATTTTCATCTCCCATTCTACTCCTATGTTAAAGGATTCACCAGGGAGCTTTCAGTGTAACCATCAAGCATTCCTCTATATTAGCCAGAGAGCCTGCTATCTCCCTGCAGGGGTGTTTTAATAAATTATCCATTGCCTCCTTCTAGTGTAATAATCTTTCAGCAGATGTGACCCAATATATTAAATTCAATGTTACAAAGAAGTTAACGTCACTGTTTTCAGAGGGAAAAGAACATGTAATTTTTCTTCAATGACATACAGATTTCACCATGCAGCTGAAGAAATGCATGATCACACAATTGCTAGAGTGATTTGTAGTCCAAATCTGGTTGAGCACTAAAATGGTAATAATTCTTTTATATATCATACCATGGTCTTGCAAGAAAAATACTGAGAATTTTCAGTAATGACCTTGAATGTAAGGACAGGCTTTCTATCTAGGATTGCTGAAGACTTTCTTACAGAAAACAGTTTGCACTGTCAAAACAGCAAGCTAAGAAGAACTCTTATAAGAAACTCCATGCCAAGTAATCAAATGGAAAGACACCAAATGATTAAAGGTGATTGAATCACTGATTTTAGAAGAATGGTTTGAAAAGCATTTTTCTTTAATTGTTGGAGGAGTGTGTGAGGGGGCAACATTTACATCCGAATAAACAAGAACAAAAGGTAGGAGTGAAGAGTTTGTCACTGGAAGAGGGGAACATACCACTCTGTAAAAAGTAGCTACAGAGATAAAAAGAATAAACTATTTTCTATCACTATAGACAGGGCAATGAATGAAAGGCTTAAAATTGCTACAAGAGAAATTTTGGCTTGAATATCTGGAAGTAGCATCTCTGAGCAAGCACAGTTGAACAGATTGTTGACGGTAGTTGGAGAATTCTAACTACTGGAAATCTGTAAGAACAAATCGTATAAGCATCTGCCAGGACCAATGCACGATAAGGCCTTTGGTCAACAGAATAGCAGAGTAAGCTTCAGGGTCCCACCTAGTCTTATTTTCTAGTTTCTGTAATGCTGCTGTATGTCAATGCACTTTAGTGCCAAGACTATAATTACATGTGGAACTTCCATTCTGTCATTTGTTTAATTAAAGAAATTTCCCCAGAAGCTCACTGTGCCAGTCATTACTGTGGCTGAGATTCCTCCTAGCCCTGTGCCAGGAACAGAATACTGAAGTTCAAAAATAAACAGAACAGGCTTTTATGTTCTGCAGCTTCTATTCAATCAGTAAGCTCCTGTTCATATAATTTCTCTTTCCTTCCCCTGTCATATTCTTCTCCAGCCTTTCCCCTTCTTCTCAGCCTTGATGTCCTACCACATTTCTTCTTTTTCATTTCTAGACTTGCCCACAATCTCTTCCTTGGTCCAGTTCTCCCTGTTTATCCCCAACTTGTTCTTAGGTACCATGTCTTGTTGCCCCTGGCCTTTTTCAAGGGTCTTTTCCCCCAAACTCCCGTGTCCCAGATCCTTGTTACTGGCCACCTACTCTACTGCTACTCCCCTATCTCTTCAAAAATGATAAGGCTATAAGCAGCCATGAAGAGTGACTTAAGGAAAGATGAACACAGGTGACAAAGCCTCTCTGCTGTCACATAATCACAGAATGGCCTAGGCTGGAAGGGACCTTAGAGATCATTTTTAATCCAGCCTCCCTGTTGCCAGGGATGCCACCTGTCGACAAGATCAGGCAACACATGGGGACCGAATGAAGGAAACACCTACTAGGCAGTTAGCTGAAGGCTCC